ACTGCTGTTACAGCAGCACGACTCACTGCTGTTACAGCAGCACGACTGACTGCTGTTACAGCAGCACGACTGACTGCTGTTACAGCAGCACGACTGACTGCTGTTACAGCAGCACGACTCACTGCTGTTACAGCAGCACGAATGACTGCTGTTACAGCAGCACGACTGACTGCTGTTACAGCAGCACGACTGACTGCTGTTACAGCAGCACGAATGACTGAATCAAGTTAATCATTCCGAAATCATTTACGCCCCATAATCGAGATTATGTAATTAAACAATTTACATAAGATGTTTTTATTATAGCAATTTAACATGCTTAGGTTCTGCAATGTGCATCATGCCATTGGAATGCACGTCTGGCAGGGATGTACATTTTTATAAATGAAATAATTCGAGGAGTAACGTAAATTATGCATTTATTTTGATTATCATGAAAATGGTATAGTCACAGTAATATTACATTCATTTTAATAGTGACAGTTAATGAGTATTGTTTGTATAACAGCATCAAACGTATCTGTAGAGATTGTAATAGAAAATGCAGACAAATGATGCCTCTTTTCTGCTGTGCCGGAAAATATTCCCTCTGCCTGGCAACACTTGGGCTGCGTGTCCGAGCTTCAGTGTTGCATGAGTCATGGTGAGTGGTGGGTGTGGTCGCGGTGCCGCTTTCTCTTTGGTGAACGCGAACACCTACGCTCAAACCATAAAGCAGCTATTGGCCATTTATGGTTGTTTTGTCGCTAAACAAACACTGATAGGAGAAAATAATTGGTTTGTAGTGAGCATTAAGGATTTTGAATGGAGATAAACAAGAGAGATGCAAATAGTTTTCCCTAGAAATCTCTCAGCTGACGACGTGGGGTTGTTGACATTATCCCTTACCTCGAACTTCGAAGCTGTGTGAGGCCTGAAGCCTGTGAAGTTGTAGCCTTAGCTTTACAACTAGTCTGTCTAACCAAATAGTACCGATAGACATCGGTAAATAGGCTAGGCCTAGTTGGCCAAGAAATTTAATACAAATTCCGTAAAGGTCCGCCATGGATTGGTTAGTTCCTTGACTAGCATTCAAATCTCCTGTGAGCTGTGATGTCCACGTGATGTGATTGCGATAGTGTTAGTTAATCGGAACTATTTCAGCATTTGATTTATGAATGAAATCTATGTATATGAATGATCCTGATGTCTTCATTCAGAAGTGGTGGAACTATTCAGCATTCAGGGATGCATTATTTTTTAAAATTATCATTTAGTCATTTACCAACCTTGCATTTCTCTAATCTTATTATTTAATTTTATTCATGTTAAATTGAAAAGGTAAATTTCAAGGATAATAGGTACCACTAATCAATTATTAAATATTTCATGTCAATTCATTTCAATGTATTTTGTGGGATGGATGAGTATACTGTAAAGTGTAAACATGGCATCAACAAACAACTTTTTTCAATTTTTGAGCTTCCCTAGTTCTAGTGTCTAGTTATTAATTAAGTTGTTTAGTAATTAGTCAGAATAGAAAATATGTTGACTACATTATCTGGAATATTATCCAAAATTTAAAAAAATTAAGGTGAAAACTTGTTTTGCTGGCAATTTTTGAAATTCACGGTCAAAACTGTGTCATTTTTTGTATTTTTTTTATGGAAAATAAGGCAAGGACTATGAAAACTAACTAAACACGCAAAATTGACTGCATACATGGCTATTTTCACCTTGTTCATGGGTGGCTTTTACCCATCCTCAAGAATAGATGGCTAATAGAATTAAAATTCATTAAAACACAAGGTATTTCACAGAATCTGGATGTAGATCAGAAAACTAGAACAAACCGGTTTCTATAAAAGCTTTAGTCATAGTGCTTATGTAAACCCAGAGGTAGGCTAACTGCTTATCTGGTTGGACTCGTACCTTGCATTTCAATTATGCTTACTCAGTATTTCTCCATCTTCTTTGTTATAGTTCACCTTCATTGAATAAACATGATGCAAGGAAGTAATTTTTGTTACGGACTCACGTCTTTGCTTATGCCTTAGTCTTATTCTACTGACATTTGAGACAACAACAAGCAGATAATGTTGCTGCTTTTGATCAATTTGGAAGTCTACTAAATTTCAGCTAAGTTCACTCTTCTTTTCCATAGAGTTTTATACTTTGAGGCTCTTGAATTTAATAAATTATCTTTTAAATATCATAATTCTTGCAAGATTATCATTTAAATATCATAATTCTTGTGAGATTATCATTTAAAAATGACAGTGTCTTGATTGTGGTTATTGAATTTTGAATATAAAATTATTCAAAATTTTAACTATTTAAATA